CCTCCTGCCTGTCAGTCCCAAGGAGACGGGCTTGTGTTCAGGGGGATGATCAGTGCTGCTCCCTGGGCCCCAGTTTCTTCTCTGCTCTTGCATTTTATCACATCTTCTAAGAGGCCCCGAGGGTGGTGCAGCTGACGTACTGCTCTACAGTTCTCAGCAGTGGCCCGGCCTGGCGTCCTGGGTGGGGTTTGCCGAAGGAGAGGGAGAGATGGGGTCTGCCTCATTCTGTACTGACAGTTGGAGCAGAATCATCAGGACAGGAAACACTGACCTTCTCATCTGTCTTGAGTTTGGGCCCCTCCAGACTCCACTCACATCAAATGACCCTGAAACCCGGCTGAGCAGGGAGCATGCATCATTGCCGTCTGGGCTCTGCCATTCCGGTTGGCACATGAGCACTCGGAGGCCTGAGCACATCGGGCCCAGCTGCAGGCAGGCATGCTGCGACAGGCCCTGCGAGCCCGCAGAGGATGTTTTGGGAAATGGAAAAATGAAGAGAGCTGGGGACACGGAAAACGAAGCAGTGTTTTTCCACATCGTGTTTCCAAGTCTGGTTTCCTCCCTGGGCTAGTGAGCGGACCTCCTGGTGGACCTGTGGGCTTCTGTTCCCCGCTCTGGAGGGCTGGGCGGGTGTGTGGGCAGCCCTTGCGTGGCAGGGATGGACAGTTCCTGTGAGCCAGGCCACGCCAGAGGACTGGGAAGGGTGGGGTGGTGTGCCCAGCGCGTGGCCCTGTGCGCCTGGCGTGGCCCTTCCTGGGGGGGTGCTCCACGCACTGCCCTCTGGGGTCAGGATGCCTCACCTGAGCAGCAGAGGTGGGCAGCAGAGGGGGATGTCTGAGCTCACCGCTCCATCCTAACGACCTTGTCCGTCAGGCTGTGGTCCAGCATCTGGCGGGCGGCTGGCCCCTTGAGCTCGAGGTTGGAGACAGTCCCTTGTGACTTCCAGGCAGCGTTCCGGGCTCAGTGCTGTTGACGTTTGGGTAGATACTTCTGTGTTGTGCGTTGTCGGCTGTTTGTAGAATCCGTGGATGTCAGGACCCCTTCCCAGGTTGGGATGTTGCCAGGAGACCCCGAAAGAGAAGATCATCTGGTTGACAACCACCGTTCTAGACTAGAGTCAGAAGTGAGCACAGCATGCAGGCGTGAAATCCGCTTCCATGTGGTCCTTCCCTGTGGGAGACCAGGCGGAGGGTGTGGGAGAACCAAGGCAGTGATGCAGGGTCTCCACCCTGGCAGGCTGTCAGCCCACAACCCCGTGTGGGAGCAGGCGTCCTTGCAGGTGCTGTGGACGCTGTCAGATGTTGAGAATGCGTTCTAGAACAGAGGCCCAGAGGTCTTTTATGACCCACAGTGGACCGCCCTGCACCCCGGAACATGGTCATTCTCAGAGAACAGAGCCGGGCTAGGGAACATGTGCAGAGAAGGCGCTGACTTGGGCTCCAGCCCTGCAGCCTGTCACCCTGCCGTCTCCGGTCAGTGGTCTCTCTAAGGTTCAGCTTTTCTGTCTAATGAAGTTAGAAAATGTGGACGAAAGGCTCCCTGCTCCCCTTATCTCTTAAGGCTGTTGTCAGGAGCAAATAAGCTAGAACATATGGAAGCTGGTTGATCTGACGGGATTTCAGGACAACAATCAGCCATGATTGTTGGTGGGGCTTCCAGAAAATGCTGGGGTCATCAGAGTAAGTGTGAGTTTGGGTTGTTTCTGCTGACGGGGCAATGCGTCCTGCAGGGTGGGGACCGCACGGCCCACTGGGCTGTGTTCCCAGACGGCAGAGGTTTGGGGAAACAGAACAGTGAGAACGTCCTGTGTGTCTGGTCCTGAGACTGGGCCTGGGAGCTGGCCGGCACAGCACATTAAGTCCCTGCAGGGCTTGGCTAAATTTGGCCTTGCTTTTTCCTCAGCCTGCATGGATAGGCTGTGAGGTCACCTGCTGACTGTGACCACCAGAGGCTCTTCACTATAGCAACGAAGGGAAAGCAGTCACAGATGGGGTTTAGTGAAGCTGAATTGTCAGCACCCACGTGAGAGTCAGAGGAACAGCAGGGTCACAGCTTCCCGGGAACCGGGCCTGGGAGTGGTCTGGCTCCACCCACACCCCGTCCCCCAGGGCCTTCTGTGCCGCCTCATGGCCCCTGCAGGATGGAGTCGGGACTGGACAGTGCCTTGTGGTGCCCGGCTGGCCGCTGGAAAGGGCTTTGTGCTCTTCTCCATCAGCCTCACAGGGCCCTTGCCCAGACACTGGTCAGTCTCAGGGACTGGCCAGTCTCCAGGCCAGTCTCAAGGACGGTGGACAGATGAGAGCCTGTGTTTCAGATGGTGGTTGTGGGCCTGCTGGTGGAACTTGGCTCATTTCCAGAAACAAATCTTGGGCTACCTGGGGGGAGGGAGATGTTGTCTTCAACAGGAGTCTGCTGCAGAGCAGACAGCCTTTTGTGGAAGGCAGGGGTAGGGGTGGGCAGGTTTGTCCCTGTGATAGCTGAATTATGGGCAGTTTCTTAAAAATGTGCCCAGGGGCAGAGACAACTGGGAGTGCTCTGCATCAGAGGGCACCCTCCTCCCCGAGTCCCCATCCCCGTTTGAGGTGTGCTCAGAGGGTAGCTGGCGTGATACAGATGAACTTGAGTCCTAGGGGGGCCTGCAGAGGGTGCGCAAGGCAGGGGGAGGAGAGGGGCCTGGGCCGGGCTGACCTGTGGGGCCATCCTTCTCTTTACCTGCTGCATATGTGATCAGCTGCATGAGTGGCTTGTGGACAGATTGCTTCCCTTGGGCAGATCACAGGGGCCTTCCTGTTTTTCGGGCGGCCCCTGTGGCGCCCCTGTGCGCACAGGTGTGTGGAGGCGGGTGGCCAGCTGGGAAGGCAAGAGTTTCAGCTGGGGTTGGCTGGCAGGGACTAAAGAGCACCAGCAAACCCCAGTGCGCTTGTCACAGCTGCAGCTTCCCACAGGCTGACGCAGCAGATGGTTGGGCCCGATCGAGCTTCCCCTGTGAGGTGTCTCAGCACAGGAAAGACATATTACCTGGAGAGCCACACGGAGCTCTGGGACGGTCTTTTAGTGGAGACCAGGGTATGTGCCTTAGAGAGAATGACATGTGCCAGGATCCCACATGCCAGAAAAGCACCCATGGGAGATGCTGCAATAATAGCAGCAAAAAGCATTTAACACTGGAAAACTAACATGAAAGCAAAAGTTCCCTGGGATCCTGCAGACGGGGAGCATAGGCCTGTGGTGTGGACAAGCCCGTCGGCCTTCTAGAAAGGACTCCCTGGGCTGTGGGCTGTCCCCTCCCACCGGCTAGGTCTCCTGGGACAGCTCTGATTCATCCCTGTCGCGTTTCCCCTCCTCGGTCCATCTGTCACCGCTGACTCCTGGCAGTTCAGTGTCTCCCTCTTGCATCCACACAACATTCTTTTCTCTGTGCCTCACGTAAGCATACGGATAGACAAGTAGACAGTTGGCGTGTGAGGAGTGGTTTTCAATCCTGTCCTTCCATCTTTCCTCGAGTTCTGAGCTTCTCCGGAAGACTACCTGTCACCTGAGGCTGGTGGTGTGACTTGACCAGTCAAACCCAGTGTCGTTCTGTAGAGCCTGGGGTGTCACAGAAGCTGGGCCCTGCCTTGGCGGGACGCGAGCCCCACAGCCTGCTTGCTTCCTCCTGGGGTCCCTTTGTCGTGCTCTCCCTCGGCTTTCTCTGTGCAGTAACTGCCGTTCGCAGTCCAGGGCAAATGGATACAGGAGACCTGTACAACTTGGCAGTGAAAAGGTTGCTGGACCTCAAGTCGCATCACCTAGCTCATGTGCGGAATGCTGCCGTGTACATGGTGAACATAGTAGAGGAGGGTGGTGTACGTGGGCACAGGGACAGCCCTTGTGCGTGTGTGTGTGTGTGTGTGTGTGTGAATATAATCCCCTTCACATGCACAGTAACCCTGGGCACAGGACTGTCCTCATTGAAGATCAGGAAATGCACTCTTTGTGTCATGGGATTTTCCTAAGATCTTTCAGCCAGTTGCTGGTGTGGTCCAGTGTCTCGGGGGGGTCTGTGTGACTCTGCGTCCACGTGCTGCATCTTGTCCCAGTGGGCACAGGCAAGAGTGGTCTGGGGGGGGGGGGCTCTTTTGCCCGAGTGTGGGGTCACAAGGTGTATCAGGAAGTGTGAGGATGGAGATGGGAGTGGAGGGGGCGTGGCGGTGACATCTGACATCTGAGCCCTTCAGAGTTCACGTGCCCACTGCGGTCCTCAGAGTTCTTCACAAAGGAATGCTATAGTCTAGAAAGCACTGCCGTGGGCCTCCCAGAGTAACAGCCAACCCAGGCAAGGTCATCAGTGATCTTCAGACCATGGACACAGGGGTGCTGGGAACAGGTAGTCCAGGGTCTCCATCCACAACTGCGCAAATCTGCTTATTAATTCCAAAGGGGAAAGGTCCCTCTACAACACAGAGCTGACAAGCACCAGTTCAACCAAGCCATCCAGCTGGCATCACCAGGAATGAGGGGGCCTGACTGTTCTGTGTGGATGCAGTTGCCCATGTAGGGGTGTCCCATGGAACAAAGAGACTTTACCATGAATCTCAACATGAGACAGACAATTGCACGGTGTGAGAAGCTCCGCAGCACAGCTTCCCTGGACCCCCCCATTGACCAGCCAGATGCAGTGCTCAAACCCCAACTGTGTCCTGGACCGAGGGGTGGGGGCAGTGGGAGGACTCTCCCCTCGACAGGCTGCTTTCCCTCAGGTCCAGCCTGGCCCCTCCCCCAAGCCAGTGTCCACTGCTTCCCAGGCTTTCCTGCAGAGCAGATGAGGGGCCTTCCGTCTTCTGCACCACCCCCCAACACACACACCAGCATCCTCTGGGCTCTGGGGGCCCCAGCCTTGTTGATCGCTGCGGCATCCAGCTCCCCAGCCTTGCGGGATGGCTGCCCCTCCTTCCAGGGGAAGGTTCCTTCCCTCATCCCCATTGCTGACCCTAGAACTTTGCTTCTTGCTTGTCGTGCAGGCCCAAGCGTGAATGGCCTAGAGGAGCCTAGCGTCGCCAAGAGACTGCGGGGCACCCCGGAAAGGATCGAGCTGGAAAACTACCGGCTGTCGGTGCGGCAGGCAGAAGGGCTGGAGGAGGTGCCCGAGGAGACGCAGGCCGAGCACAACCTGAGCAGTGTGCTAGACACAGGGACAGAGGAGGACGCAGCCAGCAGGTTAGCCTGTGGGGACTGCTGCCTGCCGGGGGCGGGCGCTGTGGAGCCCTGAGTCAGCTCATCTGGGTCTGCATGCTGGCTGTGACCTTTGACAGGCAGGTTGCATGGCCTCCCTGTCTGCCTCCTCATCTGATGTGCTGTGAGGAGCCTGGCCAGACTTGAAGGGCTGCTCTGAGTGCCCATGGACCATGAGGCCTGGGAGGAACTGTCTCCCTCTGGCCTTCACAGAGGCAGGGGGTGGGCTTGCCTGCTTCTCGTCTCCGGAAGCACGTGGCAAGACCACTCAGAAAGGGACTGAGAGCCTGTAGCTGTGGCGAGAGGTGAGGGTTGACCTCTCTGCCCAATTTTTTTATGCCAAGTGTGTCCCTTGCTCTTCTCCATGGTCCTTGAATTGCTGCAGCTTCAAGTGGAACCTCATCATGTTGGCCACCCTTGTGACATGGCCCAGGGATGGACCACCCTGAGCACCCTCACACACACGCAGAGAACTGCCGCCCACGACTGGGGTCCCAGTGTGCTCGGCTCGAAGGGAGGGCAGCCTGGCCTCCCCTCTCCCACCTGAAGTTGTCTAAATTGACCTGAAGTTAGGAATGAGCACAGGGACATTCTTACCCTGATTACCTGTTTTGGAAGATGTTAAATGACAAGCCCAGGGTTGGTCAGTGTTGTTAGTTAAAAAGAAAGTAAACAAATGACGTCATGGTGATAAGGCAGAAACATAGCTCAGTCAACACTGAAAGCTAATCAGACTCCAGAGGGCACGCGTTCTGTGGTCCACAGTCCTAGGTTTTCCTGCTGGAAACTTCCTCGCCCTGACCCTCACCCACTTCAGTTATCGCCACCCTGTCTAGTCCTGCTGTTTGCATCTTGTCTCCCTCGAGACTGAGGATGTTTTCTGTGGCAGTTTAGTGTTCCCTGCAGCATCTGGGAAGGGCATTGTGAGCAGCAGACACTTGGTAAGTTTTAGTGGCATGAATGAATGAACACATGAATGGAGTAGGATTCACTTGACTGAGCTGAGCAGTGAGGAACCTGCTCTTTTCTTCCTCATCTACTAACTGAACTTCAGTTAGGTGCTCAGAAGCATTTGCTGAATGACAGACTGACTGTAAATGGGTAAAACAAGCTAGTGGATGGCTGGAGGACCCACGAGTAGCACAGGCGTGGTGAAGTCAAGTACATCTCCCACTCTACCAGCTCACCCTGACAACCAGGTGTTCACACCCCCTTCCCAGTGTGGACAGGGCTGTCATGGCAGAGCCATTTGCCCCATGAAGGGTTGAGGGAACACAGCCCAGGAGACCACCCTTGCTTCTGACCCAGCGAAAGTGACAGTCTCCCGCATCACCCTTGAGTGGGGTATAATTTTCTAGAAAGACGATGAAACAGAACCCTCTGGAGGGGCTGTGCTCACTGCCGTGCTTAGGCAGAGCCACTCTCCTGGTGCTGACATGCGGCGATACCCTCGGAGCCTCCGGGTTCACGTTCCCTCTTGGGGGTAGTTGTGGTTGAGCCCGGGCTCCAGGTCAGCTGACGCTGTGTGACTCAAAGCCTTTGCCCCAAACTGCCTTCTTAGACTCTCCACCCTGACCGGAGGCCGCAGGAAGTCAGACTTCCCCCGTCAGGCAGGGCACCGAGGGCTTAGGGTCTCCCTCCCAGACACAGGCAGCTGGGCTGGTCCCTCGGAGCAAGGTGGGGCGCGCTTATCCCCGGGAGCGGGCGTTCAGGCCCAGCCCTCAGAGCGAGGTGGGGCACACTTATCCCCAGGAGCGGGCGCCTGGGCCCTCGAGCAGTGACTGCCTCTCGCAGCGGGCGGGGAGGCTTGCACAGGCAGCCCGTGCGCCCATCTTGCCCTCTCCTTCCCCCCTGTCCCCGGTGCGCTGGCCCCTGAGGCGTCCTCTGTCCCATCCTGGCCCTCAGCGGGCGGCTGCCTTGCCGACTCCTCTGCCTGTGCCCCTGGCCTCCAGACGTCCCCTCACTGGGTTCTCCGGTTGTTCCCACAGCAGTTCGGAGTCGGAGATGGAGGAGGAGGAGCCCCCGCTGCCCACCTCGGACCTGGGCGGCGTTCCCTGGAAGGAGGCCGTGAGGATCCATGCCCTCCTGAGAGGGAAGAGTGAAGAGGAGCTGGAGGCCTCCAGGAGCTTCGGGGCCGGGGAGGAGGAGGAGGAGGACGAGGAGGACGAGGAGGAGGAGGACGAGGAGGAGGAGGACGAAGAGGACGAGGAGTCTAGCGAAGGTCAGAGGACACCCTCTCCTCCTGACCCTGACGTCAGGCCGCAGTGTGCGGGGGTGGGTTTCTGTGGCTGGGGACCCATGACAGATGCCTCTCTCCCAGGCCTTGGGGGACCCGTGATGGGCCGTCAGGGAGAACTGGGCATGGAGGCGGGCCAGGGCCTCCTGCAGCTCAGGTCACTCGTCTTCCTGTCCTGTTCCAGCTGAGGGAACTTAGCTTTCTGGGGTCCCTGGTCCCGGGTGTCAGGGGCTGCAGAGCATTGAGGAGAGGGCCCCCGGGCGGGCTCACCCATGGAGCCTGGGGATGTTCTGGGAGCGAGCCGTGTCCTGGCGGGGCGGTCGGGCTGGCTCTGAGACACCTCATCAGGCACTCGAGGTGTTGGTCCCATATGTCGGCTGTGTGTGTGAGCCCGAGTGCTGACAAGGAGCTCAGAGGGCCGTTCCCCCGTACTGGCTTGCCCCGGGTCCAGAGTAGTGAGCAGGGGCCAGGCAGGCGGAGACCAGAGCCCTTGGGGACTCGTGTCTGTTAGGCTTGTGCTGTCTCTTCAGGCGCGTGGACAGGGCAGGAGGGTGTGACTCCTTGGCCTGGAGCCTGGCCCCCAGGGCTGGCCCTCGGTGGCTCTAGGACCTCTGCCCCGTGTGGAGGTCCCTGAGCTCAGCGGCCAGTCCCAGCCCAGGGACTGCAGCTCAGTGAGGGCCAGGCGCTGGCCAGGCACAGTGCGAGTAACTGGGGGTCCTTGGAGCACTGTGTGTCCCCTAGCCGGTGACCCACGACAGATGAGGCAGGGCTTCCGTGGGCACGTGGGCACCCCTTTGGCCCAGGTCCTCCTGCAGGCCTCCCTCCCTCCCTCCCTCTCTCCCACCCACCCAGAGGCCAAGGCGGGGCTCTAGGGCATCCCTTGGGGCCTGAACACCCCCTCATGTGAGGAGTCAGGGGGGGCAACGTCTGGGGTTCCTTCTGCTGCTGGCCTGCCTGCAGAGCCAATGGCCCGGGGTCAGTCCACGGGGACTGCAAGGGCACAGCCTCCCTGGAAGGTCCCTCGGTGGCTTGTAGCCCAGACACAGCTGAGGGTCAGGGTGTGTCCTCTCTTCCCTCCTGAGACATGATTTCTTAGATGTGGAAGTAGGGCTGGGCTTTAGTTGGAGGAACCGGGGGTGATGCTTCTCTCTGTCCTCCTCCTGTCTGCCCCCACGGTGCTCCGGCAGGATGAAAGTGCTGGCCCTGGGACAGAGAATGCTTGCAGAGCCAGCTCCTGCAGGGGGATGAGGGCCTGGGTGCAGGTGAAAGTATCCCTGCTGCCTCCGCCGTGCCCCCAGGAGCAGGTCCCACGTGAGGAGGGGGCTTTCCTAGAGTGCAGTAGTAGGAGAGACAGCCACCCCAGGCCCGCCCGACTGACCCCTCTGCCCCTTGAATGCCCGCTGCCTGTCCTCCATCCTGTTAAGACTGCCCCTGCTCTGATGCGAGCTGCTCACTTCACATCACAGAGCGCCCAGAACCCAGAGTGCCCAGGCAGTGTGTCCCCAGGCCCCCCTGCCTGGTGGGACACTGGCAGCCCCCAGGGGGAGCCTCACTGTCTTCCTCTGCTCGCCTGGAAGCTGGAGGAGGGGCCTGCATCTTCTCTTGGATTTGTTGTCCTGGTCTGGAGACGCAGCCCTTCCAGCTCCACCAGGGACCCTTGACCCCTGAGAAAGCCCTTAGCAGCCAGCAGCTCCCAGGAGAGCCCACGCCAGCCCAGTCTGGCACGCCAGCCCAGTCCGGCGCCCCCGCCCACATCTGGTGGCCTTGTCGGTGGCCTCTGCCCCAAGCACTCTTCCTGTTGCTAGAAAGTTAGGAGGTTGTGGTTCTTGTGGTGAAGCCAGATTGCCCCGGTAGACTGTGGAGAGGCCTTCGGATCAGATGCTGCTGAAAAGCCGCCCTCCCTCCGGTGGTCCCCCGCCCCCACGTTGCTGGCTGTCCCCTGTTTTGACCCAAGCGTATGGTGTGGTCCTAGTACTGACAATGCAGAGCCCCCAGGGCGGGCGTGCACGCGTGTTCCTTGGACGCTGGCAGCAGGGTTCTCACCTGGCTGAGGAGCTGGGTCTGGTGTCCGGGGGCACCAGAGGGGCCTAGAGGAGAGTCAGAGGAAAGGGCTTTGACTGCAGAAAAGGTACAGAGGGATTGAATTCTTGCTCCTGTGAGCTCCCTGAGCTGTGGTGGTCTGTAGGACAGACCCCGCCCACCTCCTCCCTGGCTATGGCCCCTCTGAGTCCACCCCTGCCTCAGCCCACCGTAGAAGGGGCAGACGATGACTGAGAGGCCCAAAGAGTCACTCTGTGCCTGTGTGAGCCGCTGGTTCCTGCAGGATGGCCCGGCCCGTCCACGTCTCTGTCCACGCAGCAAGTGGCAGTGGGCACAGGCTTGGTGGCCTTGGAGCCACATGTGTGGGAGGCTGGCCTTGCAGAGGCCAGTCGTGACCTGCGCTTGGGTCCCTTAAAGGCAGTTGAGGTGGAAAGAGCGGCAGAGAGGAAGGGGCTCTGCGCTGGAGGGGGAGTAACACTCTTCATGGATGACAGTTAACATGAGTGAGGCTCCAAGGGGTGGGGTCTTACTGAACCAGTAGGAGTCAGGTGTGTGTGCATGTGTGTGTGTGCACGCGCATGCACTGAGGCTCCAAGGGACAGAGTCACACTGAACGAGTAGAAGGTGTGTGTGTGTGTGTGTGTGTGTGTGTGTGTGCGCGCGCATGCACGCGTGCGCATATGCACATGTATTGAGGCTCCAAGGGGCAGGGTGTCACTCGAACAAGTAGGAAGTCAAGTGTGTGTGCGTGTGTGTGCGCGCTCATGAGCGTGCACTGAGGCTCCAAGGGGCGGGGTCACACTGAATGAGTAGGAGTCGGGTGTGTGTGTGTGTGCACGCACGCGCATGCACTGATTCTCAGTTTTTGCCTGCTTCTGCTTCATACTGATCCTGGCAAATATGGTAACCTTGCCTCTGTTTCCTGTCCTATGGTGTCTGCTCCCTCCATCCCTGGACTGTTCACATTCCCCTGTCTTCCTTCCTTCCTTCTTCCCGTCCTCTCTCCCTCCCTCACCTCCTCCTCCCCTGGAACCTGGTCCCCTAGTCGGGAGCCCGAGGAGGCTGCAGCAGCTGCTGAACCCGGCCGATCCCCTGGAGATCCAGGCTGACGTGCACTGGACGCATATTCGTGAGAACCAGGAGGAGCGAGCGGCACTGGCACCCGAGTCCCCCCTTCTTGGAGGTAACTGCTCGGGGTGCAGGGCCCCGGGCGCCTCCGCCCCCTTCCCCTCGGGCTGCAGAGGACTCTGCTGTAGGGCCAGGCCGCCCGGCTCCACACAAGTAAGAGCCAGTGAGGCGTGTCTGCTTCCTGGGCTCTCGTCAGTGGTGTGAGAGGGGGGCTGTCTTCTGACTGGAAACAATGGGGTGAACTTGACCTTGGAAGAACTGAGAATCTGCTGCCTTTGCCCGGTGTCACTAGGTCGGGCTCCTCTTTGTCCACTTGAGGGAATGTGCTTGCTCTTCATCATGCTGTGTGTCTGGGTGTGAGTGTGTGTGGACAGAGTGGGGTCAGGGGACCATATCTTGGACTAAAATGAAGTCCTAAGAAGACATTTGCTTCAGGGAGTCTGAAGTAGCATCATTTCCAGCCCTGGGTTTTAGGGGAGGCACTCCGCATCTCACAAGAGGATGACGATGACCCTTGTTCTGGCTTCTTTAAAGGAACGAAAGGAAAACCTAGAGAGCGTTGGGGGCATCCTTCTCCATGCCCCAACCTCGGCGTGCCCGCCTTGGTGTCTTTCCTTCTGTCTCTTGCCCTTTTGTTTGCGTGTTTGCATTTAGCGCCCACAGGGACCAATGTCTAACCATTTTTGCAGCCTCGTAAACACCCAGCAGCTCTTTGGGAGCCACGAGAGAGCCTGCTGCCTGGGGACGCCACTTGGACTCGAGCTGCATCATTCCCCCCACCACCCCACCCGTTCTCTCCTCGCCCAGCACACAGGGCACCGCGGGCCTTGAGCTGTAGCGTCGTCTGTCTCTCCTTCATTGTAGACTCCAGGAGGACCTTGCTGTCCTCACCAGGAACGCTTACTCCCGTGTAACTGTGTATTTGTTGTCTGTTTTAAATTCAGTGCCTGGCCTCCCCTCCGTCCGCCGTGCAGCAGTACAGGCCTGGCTGGAGTCGGTCTCCGGAGGTAGACTGGTGATGTTTGTTCTCTGCCCACTCACTGTAACCCTCTCTCGGCAGCCCTGCTGGTACCTTAACACGGGGCGCCAGTCCTGCCGCTGGTGCATGCGCGGCAGAGGGTGGGGGCACGTGCATGCCTCACTCAGGCCGCCCGCCCTTGCATGGACCAGACACACACCCCACGCCCTCCTGGGAGGACCCGAGGGGAGAGAGCAGGAGTACAGGCGGCAGGGAAGACAGACACCACTGTTAGTAGAGATCGGTGAAGGCTGAAGCTGGAGGACCATGCGTAGCGCTGAGGTTTCAGGTCTGTGAAAGTGAGGGCTGGGCGGAGGCTGGAAGAACCACTGAACAGGAGCATCACAGTGGGAGGCAGTCAGTACTGGTGGGGGGATGGGGTGGGGGGATTCAGCTGGAGGTGGGGGACAGGTTGGGTCTGCAGGCTGAGGTGCAGGGGTCTCTGAGCATTTGGACCACAAGGAAGCCGAGAGGCCTCCCTTGTCCTCACTGAACTGTTCTGGGGGCGTTTCTCAGCCAGGGGCTCTGATATCCAGGCAGGTCATGGGACTCCATCGTCTGAAGGTCCTGGCCTTGGCTGTGCAGTGCAGAAGGGCCAGAGCGCCGCTGTTGGGTGGGCAGGACAGGAGCCCTAGGCCGCCCCACCAGCCTCTCTCGCCAGCCGCCCGGTGTCCTCAGCTCCCGCGTCAGGAGGCACCAAGCCGCAGGGAGGGCTGCTGGTCCCCCCCACAGTTAGTTTTGTTCCCAGGATGCTTGGACGAGTCTGAGGTGTCGGAACGTCCCAGCAGCAGCAGACTAGACAAGAGCCGAGCGAGTCGGCGACACCCGCTTCCGCGTGTGGCTGCTTCTACCCCTTCTGCGTCCTGCCCTGGACTAACCCTCAGTTCCTCCCTCAGGCTGTCTCTCTTTCAGCGGTGCTGCGGCCACATTGAAGCTTCTCGCTGTGTTTTGACACGTGTGACAGTCGTTCCTTTCAGGGTACCGCTGAGGACTGTAGACGACTCCCAATCCCACATCTAGGGCGGGCGTGTGTCTGAGTAGGAGAAGCCCGGGGGCCGTGGGGCCAGGACTGGGATGGGCGGTTCTAGTGCACTGTGCCCAGATCCCCTGCCAGTTGGGGGTCCGCGTCACTCTTGCTTCCAGCAAACGTGTGAACTTAACCTCTTGATGCCCGGCTGCTCACAGGCGGATTCAAGCACACGTGTGGGCTTGGGGGGTGGAGGGTGCCCTCTGTGAGGTGGGCCCAGGTTCTGTCCCCATCAGATCCTCTCTGAAAGGGAGCCCTACAGTGGCCGGCTTGCTGTCCCACAGATAGCGTGCGGTGGGGGAGTTGCTTGCCTTAGGAGGCCCTCCCCTCGAGTTTAGTGAGTGCCCAGCAACACTGAGCACATGGATGTCTCAGTCAGTGGGAGTAACCGAGAGGCTTCCCCAGGGTTTTCCCAGCAATGCCATCATCACAGGACAGTGTTCAGGCCCCACCAGCTCTGTGGCTGCTCAGGAGCTGTGTGGGGCTCCCAGCTCCCACAGCCCTCCCCACCTCACCCACTGCAGATGGATTTTTCTAGCACTCTATGGAGCGGGTGCGTGTCATCACTTTGTCCTTATAAGCTGAGTGCATGGAAGAGATGGTGAGAACAAGTCACGGCTTAAGGAAGTGTTTAAAACACCAGGGCCCCCGGGTCCCGAGCTGCAGGCCCAACTCTTAGAGGTGCCTACCTCCAGTGGCCGTCACGGTTGTCTCTTGTCCCCGGCTTCTTTTCACTTTGACACCATGGTCGCTTGCTCGTCACTGCACATCCTGGCTGTGGGCAATGCAGCTTCGAGAGGCCTGGCTGCTGGTCCCTGAGGGTTGTGGCCCCGTGGCCTGGCCTTGGGTTTCTGCAGGGCTGGACCCTTGGGCCTGGGTATGTGCAGGTCAAAGGGCAGCCCCTCTCCTGAAAGGAGACCCTGAGAAGAGCCTCTAGGCACCTTGGCAGGAGGGACGCAGGTCCCGACAGTGTAGGCACTCCTAGCCCGGCATCCTGGGCAGCTTCCTGCTGGCTATCTCTTGCTCGGCCTCTGGCCGTCTCTTGCCCGGCCGCTGGTCTGAGTGCTTCGTGTGCAGAGTGGGGGCCGGTGTGAGTGTGTGAGAGTGTGGGCTGCTTCCTTGGGAGAAATCACACTTTGTCCCATCCTGTGGCATGGAGGGGCTGGTCTTAAGTCCAGAAAGGACCTTTACATGACCCTCCCCCCTCTCCTGTGTGCCGAAAGAGACGTGTCTGAGTTCTCCCAGTGAGGCCACAGCCCTGCCCAGCCCTGCACACAGCCCTGATCCAGGCTGAGCGGTGCAGATGCGAAAAGACCCCCAGCTGCCTGGACTTGGTCCCCTCTCTGAGAGGCAGGGCTGGCCACGGCCCCTTGTCCTGTTCCTCGAGGGTCAAGGGGTCGGCACAGGGCCTGGCTGCCACATGTGCTGGACATCTGCCAACCTGGGCCTGATAAGCAGCGTTCTCCCCCTGCTTCCCATTCTTCTCAGACAGGCTCTCCCAGCAGTTGCTGGGGGAAGAGGAAAGCCGGCCGGCCCAGGCCACTTCTCTCCTGCTTGGCCGGGTCCGTGTGCTCAGGAGGCCCAGCCCAGCTCCTGCCCTGCTCTCAGCTCCCAGCCCTCTCCCTTCTCCCTGTGGTCTGCCCGTGGACAGCCCCGAGAACCCAGTGCCACTGTCCATCCCCACTGCCAGTGTGTCTGTCCATCTCTCTTTGTCCTTCCTTTGATGTTTCTGCCTTGCAGTCCCATTCGATGAGGATGACCTGGAAGGAGATGTGGACTCAGAACCAGCAGAGGTCGAAGGGGAGGCAGCAGAGAATGGGGACGCAGGGGACACTGGCGCCGAGCTGGATGACGGTACGGGACCAGAGAGCTCTGAGCTCGGGGAAGGCAGAACAGTGCACGTTAAAGTGGAAGCAAAGCGCTCAGAGGAGTGGCCGTTAGGACTCATGGTTCCTTCCTTGTTCTGCACTGACCTGAACACCTGCCGTTTCACCCACTCGGTGGACAGGGGCTGTGTTCATTCAGTTATGGGGAGAAACCGAGCAGATGTGGGACTTCCTACAGGGCCTCTAAGGCAGCCGCTGCCTCTGGAGGCTGGAACAATGGGATGATATGGGCAGTCTGGGGAGCAGAGGACCAGCGGGCAGGGCCAGGCCGGGACGGGATGCACGTTGCTGCTGGATGTCCTGGCAGCTGGCCTCCAAGGCGGGGGGAAGGCGGCATTTGCCAGGGGAGCACGGCCTCACTAGAGGCCTGTGCTGCTGCTTCCCTTGGCCAGATCAGCACTGGTCGGACGACATCCCGTCTGAGGCCGACACGGAGCTGCACCGGCCGGTGGTGGGAGCAGAGCTGGAGCTGAGGGTGTCGGACGGCGAGGAGGAGCTACCACTGGCCTCAGCAGGGCACCCAGAGAGAGGTCTGTGTGCAGCCCCTTCCCCTGGGCTCCCTGCCCAGCCAGAGGGGGTGCTTCCTCTTGCAAATCCTGCCTCTTGTTTTTTCAGGTCCCTCCCGAGTCTCCAGCCCCACCCGGTCCCCTGAGGAGCCCACAGGCCTGTCCTCCCCAGCCCACAGCCCCGGGGCACAGGTAAGGGTTCGACCCACTGCCTACGGTGCTGACAGGGCTGTTGGAAGCAGGAGTGGCTGGGGCTCCAGCCCCATCTGGCTCACTGTGTCCCGGTACCACAGCAAGCTGAAACAGCAGGATTTGTGGAATCACTGGTTTGACTAACAGATTTGTTTCTTCTCAGTGTTATGTTCAAATGACTATGCTTTTCTGAATTAAAAATGTGTGTCTGGGTTACCAGGGGTGTTCACACCATACAGTGCAAGATGCTCCCTAAATAGTAACACTGTTTCCTGTGGAGCACATTTTAGGGGAGACGTCTGCAGGGAGGCCAGAGCTGGAGGCCGGGGGCGACTTGACTTGGTCTTTGGGTCCTGAGGAGCAGGTGACTTGGGTGTTTTCCCCTGAGATGAGCCCAGGAGTGGTCGGAAAGAGTGCCTGGAGGCAGAGTGTAACTGATACTTTCCCGCCTCACATCAGAGACCCTGGCAGGCTAAGGCACGTCGTGCTGTCCTTTGGCTGGTGTCATTTCAGGGCCCGAAGAACAAGGTGCACTTGGGATGAACCCAGCCTGAAAGCTGCCTGTGTGCACTGGGTGAGGGGCTCCAGAGCTGGACAGGGCAGAAGAGGGGGCGTCCTCCTGGCCCTCGACTATGGCCCCAAGGATGGAGAGGCTGCTTCAGGAAGCTCGGGCCCTTGGTGGGAGAGCGCGCCTGTCACAGCCCTGCCTTCTGAGTGGCTCCTGTCACCTCGATTTCCCACAGAGCGCCTGTCCCCCCCTTGCCACTGTGGCCACCGGGGTAGGGTCACCCGCTGAGAGTCCTCTGCTGGAGCCCTCGACCCCGCCAGCGGAGCCCGAAGCTCGCCCTCCCATCCGATCACAGCCTGAAGCCAGGACGCCGCCCTCGCCTGCCAGCCCCCAGCGCACGTCCCCGCCCGCCCCACTGCCCATCTGCTCCCAGCCTCAGCCGTCCCCTGAGGCCACTGTGCCATCCCCCACCCTGTCCCCCATCCGCTCCCAGCCCGTGCCGGCCAGAACCTCCACCCCTCTGGCCCCCCTCCCTGTGAAGAACCAAGGGGTCACCAAGGACACACTGGTCAGCCCCCTCCCTGGGGACGAGGCCCTGAAACGCAGTGACCTGGTGGCTGAGTTCTGGATGAAGAGTGCTGAGATCCGCCGCAGCCTGGGGCTCACGCCCGTGCGCCAGAGCCCGGGGTCTGAGCCTGCCTTCCAGTCCCCTCCCCTGAAGGCCTATCCAACAGAGAAGGCCCCCCAGAGCGAGGGGCTCCGGCTCCTAAAACCCCCATCTGTCCCCAGGAAACTGGGGCTGCCCACCATCGAGGGTGCCCAGCCCTGCCCGCCCACCCCTGTGTCCCCGCCCGACAGGGAGCCGAAGGGCCCGCGGGAGGAGCACAGAGACCTGTCCAGCAGCTCAGGGCTGGGCCTGCAGGGTAGCTCCTCCCGCACCAGGACACCGGGCAGCCAGAGCTTCAACACCTCCGACTCCACCATGCTCACGCCCCCTTCCAGCCCGCCACCCCCGCCTCCTGATGAGGAGCCTGCTACCCTTCACAGGAAGCCAGCCCTGGCAGGGCAGCCTGTGGCCTCGACACCCACACCCCCGGTTGCCTGCGTGAGGCCCCCACGGGAGCCTGCCCAGACCCCCCAAGAGGAGGCACGGAAGTCTTTTGTGGAGAGCGTGGATGAGATCCCCTTCGCAGATGACGTGGAGGACACGTATGACGACAACACGTGTGATGACCGCACGGAGGACTCGAGTCTGCAGGAGACCTTCTTCACACCCCCCTCCCACTGGCCCCACCCCAAGCCGCCCTTGGCTGCAGAGAACGGCCGGGGGCCGGAGAGTGGGGTCCCATTGCAGAAGCGGGGGCTGCCGCTGGTCTCGGCCGAGGCCAAGGAGCTGGCGGCCGAGCGCATGCGGGCTCGGGAGAAGTCAGTGCGGAGCCAAGCACTGAGGGACGCCATGGCCCGGCAGTTGAGCAGGATGAAGGAGATGGACATAGCGGCTGCAGCCCCCGGGACCCCCAGGACCCCCGCACCCCGCAGAGCCGCTGCTGTGCCCCCCAAGGGCCCCGAGGAGCCTGCCCCAAAGCAAGAAGCCACGAGTGAGGAGGTGCTGTCCCCTCCCTCGGACTCAGGGGGCCCGGACGGCTCGGTCACCTCGTCAGAGGGCTCCAGCGGGAAAAGCAAGAAGAGGTCATCTCTCTTCTCTCCTCGGAGAAGCAAGAAAGAGAAGAAGCCCAAGGGTGAGGGCCGGCCCCTGGAGAGGCCTAGCCCTGGCACTCTGGAGGAAGTGGCCGCCAAGCCCAGGTCTCTGTGGAAGTCCGTCTTCTCTGGGTACCGGAAGGACAAGAAGAAGAAGAGCGACGGCCAGTCCTGCCCCAGCACCCCTTCCAGCGGGACCACAGTGGATGCTGGCAAGCCCAGGGCATCTCCCATCTCAAGAGCAGGTTCGGCAGTACAGCCCCACCCCCGCCCTGGGCACAGCTTGGGGTGCAGGCTCTCCCTTCCCCACGGTTCCCTCCGAAGATCCCCTGCCTGTGCCGCCCTGCCTCCCCTGGGGTTTCCTAGGGAGGAGGCTGCTAAACTTAGGACGTTCCAAAACAAGCGAATGGCTGGGCAGGGGCCATGGGGTGGCTGTGCTTCCTAGGGAAGGTGCTGCAGCTGGACACGGCCTGTTGGTGCATGGGGGCTCCTGCCTGGGTGCGTGTCAGGATCCAGGCCTGTGGCTCCGGGTGCGGGGACAGACCCAAACTGGGGGGAACCACACCTCACTCCCCACCCAGGTCGCCAGGGGGTGGGCCCGCTGGTCACGATCTGCTCGGCCCTGCCTCCAGAGCTGCGGACCCGGCGCCAGCTGAGCTGCTCGGAGGACTCGGACCTCTCCAGCGATGATGTCCTCGAGCGGACCTCCCAGAAGTCCAGAAAAGAGGTGGGCGGGCCATGGCCGTGACTCTGTCCCTTGTTCAGCCCCCACCCCCACCCCCGCACCCCAGCCAGCCCAGTCGTCACACTCACTGTGCCCGCAAGGCACACCTTTGCAGGAGCAGCTATTACCCTACTGGAGCACATCCGCCTTCCTCTTGGTGCATAGACCCCCGAGTCTGTCCAGTTCACCTGTGCTCTTCCTCCAGCCGCATCAGTTAGTGAGGCTTCATTCAGGATAGAAGCACCTATTTACTTCAGGCAAGACTTCCTCCAGGAGCCTCGGAAGTAGTGCTCATCTGAAGAAAGGGGCTTTTGATTACAAACAGAAAAGTAAAAGGACCCTGGCTTTTCTTTTTCCTTCTTTGCGTTCCTCCTACAAGCCAGAGACTTGGGGAGAACATGTGACCACGTTTACCCCCAGTCTTAAGAAAGCAGATGTTGTTATGTGGGAAACCGTAGGACGGTGGTCTCCGCAATAAAGACTGCCCCACGTCCTAACTGCCCAGCAGTTAGTGTGCAGCCGGCCTCCATCCCTCCCCCGTGGGGCACGTCTCCCGTGGGGCTCCTGCAGGGACAAGGGCTGGGCGTCTGTGCACACTGGCCCAGCCAGCTGCTGACCAAGGAAACCCTCTTGTCCCCTCCAGCCGAGAACTTACACGGAGGAGGAGCTGAACGCCAAGCTGACCCGACGTGTGCAGAAGGCAGCTCGGAGGCAGGCCAAGCAGGAAGAGCTGAAACGGCTGCACCGTGCCCAGGTAAGGGCAGCAGAGCCTCCCATCTTCCCAACCTGCTGCCCCCATCCACACAAGGGTGAGGGAGGAGGCAGGGCGGAGCCACTGTCCCCTGGCCTGCGCCTCTGGCTCGATGCAGCTGTAGAAGCCTCGCTTGGGGGCAGCTGTTGGTGGAAACAGATATGCCCAGCCTGGGTTCTCCCAGGTTCCCGCTCTGGAATAACCACCGTAAGCCAGCCAGTCTGGCTGGCCTCTGACACACCGGGGTTTACAGGTTGGCGCTGTCCTCAGGCCCAGGCCTTCTGATGTTTGTTTCTCCCTTTTAACAAAAAATAATTTTTTAATGCAAAGTATTCCCTGGTGACTCATTGGTAAAGAATTTGCCTGCCAGTGCACAAGACATGAGTTCGATTCCTAGGTCGGGAAGATCCCCTGGAGAAGGAAATGGCAGCCCACTCCAGAACTGCCTGGAAAATACTATGGACAGAGGAGTCTGGCTAGTACAGTCCATAGGGTCACAAAGATTCAGACACGATTTAGCAACTAAACAACAACAGACTAGGGCTTCTGGGTGCAAGGTCCTCCCAGGGGTCCAGTATCCTCAAGAAACCTTGTTCCTTGCGGAGTGTGGCTGGTCCACACCACATGGGTGCTGCTGTTTTTTTCTTGAATTGAAGTATGCTTGTGTGCTAAGTTGCTTCAGTCTTGTCTGACTCTTTTCAAACGTATGGCCTGCAGCCTGCCAGATTCTTCTGTCCATGGGATTCTCCAGGCAAGAGTACTGGAGTGGATTGCCATACCCTCCTTCAGGGGATCTTCCCAACCCAGGGATCAGACCTGTGTCTCATTATGTCTCTTGCATTGGCAAGCAGGTTTAGTGCCACCTGGGAAGCCCTAATTGAAGTACAGGTGGTTTACAGTGTTATGCCAATTTCTGTTGTACAGCGAAGTGACTCAGTTATACACACATAGACATTCTTTTTTTTTTTTAATCTTTTCCATGAGAGTTTATCCCAGAAGATTGGCTACAGTTCCCTGTGCTGTACAGTAGGCTCTTGTTATATCCATTCTGTATATAATACTTCGCACCTCTTACTCCAAATTCCCAGTCTTTCCCTGTTTACTCCTCACCCCCTTGGCAGCTACAAGTCTGTGCTGGGTGTTTTTTACTCTTGTGGAAGCAGGGTTTCCAGACTGTCAGGAAGCCCTGCTGGAGCATGCTCAGCCTCTCTGTGTGCCCCGGACAGCCACCCAGATCCCAGCGTCCTGGCTACCTGAGGGTTCACCCCCCTCCCCCCTCCTCTCCCCTCCCCTACTCCCTCACTCTGTGTGTCCTCCCCACCCTCCCCCTCACACTGCGTCCACCCCTCCCCCCTCACAGTGTCCACCCCTCCCTCTCACACTGTGTCCACCCCTCCCCCTCACATTCACACTGTGTATGCACCCCTCCTCCTCACACCGTGTCCTCCCCTCCCTCCCACACTCAGTGTTCTCCCCTCCCCCTCACACTGTGTCCACCCCTCCCCCTCACACTGTCCTCCCCTCCCTCCCACACTCACAGTGTTCTCCCCTCCCTCTCACACTGTGTCCTCCCCTTCCCCCACACTGTGTCCTCCCCTCCCCCTCACACTATGTCCACCCCTCCCCCTCACATTCACACTGTGTCCACCCCTCCTCCTCACAGTGTCCTCCCCTCCCTCCCACACTCACTGTGTCCTCCCCTCCCCCTCACACTGTGTCCACCCCTCCTCCTCACTGTGTCCTCCCCACCCTCCCCCTCACACTGCGTCCACCCCTCCCCCCTCACAGTGTCCACCCCTCCCTCTCACACTGTGTCCACCCCTCCCCCTCACATTCACACTGTGTATGCACCCCTCCTCCTCACACCGTGTCCTCCCCTCCCTCCCACACTCAGTGTTCTCCCCTCCCCCTCACACTGTGTCCTCCCCTCTCCCTCACACTGTCCTCCCCTCCCTCCCACACTTACAGTGTTCTCCCCTCCCTCTCACAGTGTCCTCCCCTCCCCCTCACACTGTCCTCCCCTCCCTCCCACACTTACAGTGTTCTCCCCTCCCCCTCACACTGTGTCCTCTGCTCCCCCTCACACTGTGTCCTCCCCTCCCCCTCACACTATGTCCACCCCTCCTCCTCACACCGTGTCCTCCCCTCCCTCCCACACTCAGTGTTCTCCCCTCCCTCTCACACTGTGTCCTCCCCTCCCCCCACACTGTGTCCTCCCCTCCCCCTCACACTGTGTCCACCCCTCCCCCTCACACTGTCCTCCCCTCCCTCCCACACTCACAGTGTTCTCCCCTCCCTCTCACACTGTGTCCTCCCCTTCCCCCACACTGTGTCCTCCCCTCCCCCTCACACTATGTCCACCCCTCCTCCTCACAGTGTCCTCCCCTCCCTCCCACACTCACAGTGTTCTCCCCTCCCCCTCACACTGTGTCCACCCCTCCCCCTCACACTGTCCTCCCCTCCCTCCCACACTTACAGTGTTCTCCCCTCCCTCTCACACTGTGTCCTCCCCTCCCCCTCACACTATGTCCACCCCTCCCCCTCACACTGTCCTCCCCTCCCTCCCACACTCACAGTGTTCTCCCCTCCCCCTCACACTGTCCTCCCCTCCCCCTCACACTATGTCCACCCCTCCTCCTCACACTGTGTCCTCCCCTCCCTCCCACACTCACAGTGTTCTCCCCTCCCCCTCACACTGTGTCCACCCCTCCCCCTCACACTGTCCTCCCCTCCCTCCCACACTCACAGTGTTCTCCCCTCCCTCTCACACTGTGTCCTCCCCTTCCCCCACACTGTGTCCTCCCCTTCCCCTCACACTATGTCCACCCCTCCCCCTCACATTCACACTGTGTCCACCCCTCCTCCTCAGAGAGTCCTCCCCTCCCTCCCACACTCACAGTGTTCTCCCCTCCCCCTCACACTGTGTCCACCCCTCCCCCTCACACTGTCCTCCCCTCCCTCCCACACTTACAGTATTCTCCCCTCCCTCTCACACTGTGTCCTCCCCTCCCCCTCACACTATGTCCACCCCTCCCCCTCACACTGTCCTCCCCTCCCTCCCACACTCACAGTGTTCTCCCCTCCCCCTCACACTGTGTCCTCTGCTCCCCCTCACACTGTGTCCTCCCCTCCCCCTCACACTGTCCTCCCCTCCCTCCCACACTCACAGTGTTCTCCCCTCCCCCTCACACTGTGTCCTCCCCTTCCCCCACACTGTGTCCTCCCCTTCCCCTCACACTATGTCCACCCCTCCCCCTCACATTCACACTGTGTCCACCCCTCCTCCTCACAGTGTCCTCCCCTCCCTCCCACACTCACAGTGTTCTCCCCTCCCTCTCACACTGTGTCCTCCCCTCCCCCTCACACTGTCCTCCCCTCCCTCCCACACTCACAGTGTTCTCCCCTCCCTCTCACACTGTGTCCTCCCCTCCCCCTCACACTGTCCTCCCCTCCCTCCCACACTCACAGTGTTCTCCCCTCCCTCTCACACTGTGTCCTCCCCTTCCCCCACACTGTGTCCTCCCCTCCCCCTCACACTATGTCCACCCCTCCCCCTCACACTGTCCTCCCCTCCCTCCCACACTCACAGTGTTCTCCCCTCCCTCTCACACTGTGTCCTCCCCTTCCCCCACACTGTGTCCTCCCCTTCCCCTCACACTATGTCCACCCCTCCCCCTCACATTCACACTGTGTCCACCCCTCCTCCTCACAGTGTCCTCCCCTCCCTCCCACACTCACAGTGTTCTCCCCTCCCTCTCACACTGTGTCCTCCCCTCCCCCTCACACTGTCCTCCCCTCCCTCCCACACTCACAGTGTTCTCCCCTCCCTCTCACACTGTGTCCTCCCCTTCCCCCACACTGTGTCCTCCCCTTCCCCTCACACTATGTCCACCCCTCCCCCTCACATTCACACTGTGTCCACCCCTCCTCCTCAGAGAGTCCTCCCCTCCCTCCCACACTCACAGTGTTCTCCCCTCCCCCTCACACTGTCCTCCCCTCCCCCTCACACTATGTCCACCCCTCCTCCTCACACTGTGTCCTCCCCTCCCTCCCACACTCACAGTGTTCTCCCCTCCCCCTCACACTGTCCTCCCCTCCCCCCACAGTGTCCTCCCCTCCCCCTCACACTATGTCCACCACTCCTCCTCACACTGTGTCCCCCCCTCCCCCTCACACTGTGTCCTCCCCTCCCCCTCACAGTGTCCTCCCCTCGCCCCTTACACTCACTGTGTGTCGCCCGCAGATCATCCAGCGGCAGCTGGAGCAGGTGGAGGAGAAGCAGCGGCAGCTGGAGGAGAGGGGGGTCGCCGTGGAGAAGGCGCTGCGTGGGGAAGCAGGTACCACTGGGCCTAGAGGACAGGGTCCTCGGGAAAGCCCCACCCCACCCCCCATGGGAGGCTAGCTGCCGTCCCATGCACGGAGTCAGTGGGTCTCCAGCAGGATTCTCTGGTCCCCTGGGATTCTCTGGTCACTGGGATCTGGGGCTTCCTATGAAGCAAAGGAGGAGAAAGGCCTATGCATCTGGGGCTCCCCGAGCCTGGCCCCCACCCCCCGTCTCAGGGCTCCCCCTGCCCTTGTCCCCCATGTCTGCTGGTGATGCCCTGGGCCTCCCCCTCCCTCCCCTCCCCATCGTCTCCCCAAGAAGACAGTGGCTGGGAGCAGGGCAGGCTGTGCACAAGGGGCCATCACAGAACTGCACGTGCAGCTCCCCACCCCTCCCACAGGCCTTGCTGTGGGTGGCATTACAGACACCCCAGGGTGGACCAGGCTTGGTCCTGGGGGCGGGTACTTGGGGCAGAGCAGAGTAGAGCCTGGGAAGAGGCTGTGAGGGCCGTGTGCTGGGGCAGACCATGGGGGCCATGCGGTCAAACCACTCTCCCCAGAACCTGCAGAGAAAGCAAGGAGGCACCCAGCGCCCAGGATGGCCTCTTGGTTCAGGACTTTGAACCCCTGGACCAGCCCCACTGCAGCCCCACCCCCACTCGAGGGACTCTTCCCTGCTTTCCCCAGCGTCCCTGAGTCTGGAGCCTCCACCCTTTTGTGGAGAGCACTGCAACCAGGGTCAGAACGAGCTCATGCAGCCTGCAGTGAAGACAGGTGCTGTTGTGGTTGTGCTCCGGGGTGGGGTGGAGTGAGTCTCCGGGCAGGTGGGCTGAGGATAAACCAAAGAAGAAGGAAGAGGTGGCCACCAGTACAGTCATCGCTGCCTCTGATCTTGCTGGAAGACTGACCGACAGCTGGCTTCTGAGTGAGTGCCTGGCGTCAGGACGCATCTGTGGGGTTCTGGAGGCCCGGCGCTCGATGTGGAGCCAGGCAGGCACGAAGGAAGTCTCCTGTCCAGGGCCTTCCTGCACGGAATTCAGCCAGCGGTCGAAGGGTGACCTTCAGGTGAAGAGGGGATGAGGCAGAAAGATGAGCTGTGATGTCTTGGTCTTGCCTGATCCTGGACTCTGTGCCACCAGAGTGAAAACTAGACCCTGTGTCCAGGAGTGGGGGCTCAGGTGAACGGGCAGTGCCACCATGCTGCATGCCCTGACCCCAGCCTCCTCAGTCAAGCCTTGACCGCCTGGAGGGAGCTGTCCTGTACCTGGTGTGAATGGGGACCCACAGCCGTGCCCTTGCTGCTGTTTCTGCTGGCTGAAGGTGCCAGGAGGGCCCTGGGCCCCCGGATCCCACCTGCCATGGCGGAAGGTGGTCCCTCACAGGGACCTTATCCTAGCGTATGTTCCCCACGGCACTCATGGCCCTGCTGGCTGCCCATGGCGTGTCCTTGACGGCCCCTCGGCATTTCCTTATCAGACTGCTGCCTGCCAAGGGGCCAGAGGAAAGGGCCCACTGGAGACTGGCCTGGGATTTTGCTGAAATTCCTCTTTCTAGTTGTTTAGATAATTACCCCTTTGCAAACATATACAATCAGAATTTCATCTGTGTCATTGGTTTTAAAGCTGTTTTATCAGCAGCAGAATCCCTTTTTACAAGAGAAATTATGGTTTCAAGTTTAAAGTGAAAAAAAAAAAGTTACTGTTAAATGTTAATGAACACAGATTGGAAAATGCAGGTTGTGGTAGAGAACTGCAAAAACCTCAGTGTCCAGTCCAGCCCTGGTTGCAGGGTGGGCACCCTGGTGTGCAGAGGTGGTGATTGTAAATGGAAGCAGGTCATGTACAGCCATGGGAATTCAGCGTGTGCACAGTGAGAATGGTCTAGGCGTCTGAAGCTTAAAGTTGGAGCTGCTGTCGCAGCAGAATCACTACGGATCCAACTGCAGTTTAGATTCCTGGGGAAGAACGGACCTCAGATATATGCTCCCAAACGTGCAGTGAACCCAGAGCCAGCTGTACTGTGAGTCATGTCACCCGGAGGGCCGGCCTGCGCCTGGAGGGTCAGCCTGCACCTGGAGGTTTGCTCTGCACCAGGAGGGTCAGCCTGTGCCTAGAGGGTCACCTGCTCCTGGAGGGTCACCCTGCACCTGGAGGGTCAATCTGCACCTGGAGGTTCACTTTGTGCCAGGAGGGTCAGCCTGCACCTGGAGGATCACCCTGTGCCTGGAGGGTCAGCCTGTGCCTAGAGGGTCAGCTGGTAGGATGCTTTGAGAGGTGGGTTCCCTGAGTGAGACTGCTCACAGGCTAGGACTTAAGTCGATGAATGAAGTGTCCTGACAGGCTGGACGGACACTCACACACACAGGGCAGAGGAAGCCTGGTGGTCCTGGGGCCGCACAGAAGCAAGTTGACCTGACAGCACAGGTCAACGTGGTGATGGGCTTCCATGGGTCACAAGCTGGTGGATCACAGATTCGAATGTGGTGTGTCCAATTGAAATTTATTGCTGAATTAGAAGTAGTTGTGAGTCAGGTATTGGGAGAGCCCAGAACACCACGTGCAGAGCCCGCGCATTCCAGAGAGCAGGGTGAAAACCAGAGTTCTGATCCAGAGTCCACTAAGCAAGACTTTCCAGCACTTCTGTCCAAATGTCCATCTCCGGTTCATATACAGGCAGTGGTATCTCTGTTGGGAAATCCCCACAATGCATTTCGGAAACAGGATGGAGTAGCTGGACACAGGAACCCAGAGCTTTGCTTTCCTCATTTCAAGCACCTCACTTCCTGAGTTGTGTTCCCACCTGGTGACATCATCTTCTCTTGGGCTTTGTGTCCCTTTGCTCTCGCTGGTGTGCTTGCCAGTGGCCGAGCCCTTGAGGTGGCCCTTGTGGGCTGAGCAGCACTGGTCAGCTCCTTTCCTGAACCAGCCATTCGGTCTCAGTCCATGGGTTCTCTGAGGTGTCACTGGTGGCCGAGCTGCCCTCCAGAGAAGGCTGACGTGCATCCAGACAGCAGGTCTGGGGTCAGAGCCTCAGAGAAGACCGAGATTCCCGAGGTGTGTGGTCTGGAGCAGCTGGGAAGCCCTCTTTGTTTTCGGAACCTACTGGGACAGCCTCGTTCAGCGTTCTGGTGTCTGTGTCCCCCACGGGGAGCCCTCATGTGGAACTGGACGCTGCTGGGACCAGCTGTTGGGTTGTGAGATGAGGAGGAAAGGGTGGTAAGCTGCAGCTGACTGCGCTTTCATTTGTCATGGTCCTGGGTTAACTCTTGCCGCGCTGTGACAAACAGGAGTGCTGGTGGGGCAGCTGTGGAGCAAGGAGCCACTGTTTTCTGCTCTCTGGGGGCCTGGTGACCTTGAGGGCCGCAGAGCCTCCTTCACTCAGACCAGTTTAGCAGATGTGGTTCTGCTCCACTTGGGGTCAGTGTGAACAGGCGAGCTGAGAGCTATCACGGCCTCTTTAGGTGTTCACGTCTGGCCTTCAGCCTCTTAGTCTGGGGCTTCTGATACTGCAAAACTAGGGAAGTCCATAGCCTTTGACCTGCCCCTCACATTTTCTAAGTCTGAATTAGATGAGGTTGAATCCCAGCAGGATCTCCAGCAGAGCCAAGGCCCTGTCCCAGCTGCTGGTTGGCTACATGCTGCCCCCTTCCATCCCTGCCCCCCCTCGCCTTGGTTTTCAGGACCACCCCTGGCACCAGGAGGCCTGTGGCCGAAGCATGTGTGTGGGGGTGCCTGGGGGAAACGCATGCTTTCTGCTGCCTCCCTGGGTGTTTCTTTTGCTTCACGCCCTTGACTGCCAGGGACTGGGGGGCCAGAGGGTTACCTGATCCAATAACGCTTCCCCGATTCCTTGTTGTAGACTATTGGGGAGAGTCTTATTACACTGACCTCATCGACTTGCATCTGGGTGGTATGTATGCAGACCTGTTACAGAACTAACCCTGCTGACTCCCCCCTCCTCCCCTGCCCCTGCTCACAAAGAGCAAGAAGTCAGCCTGATAACCATAACCGGATGGTAAAGCACAGGCCCTTTTCCAGCTCAAACAGAGCAGTGTGCTGACTCGGCCTCGCCATACGTGCGTGGCGGGGGAGACCTGAGACAGCCCTTGTTGCTGGGCCTGAAACTGACCTGAACTGGTAAATTTAGAGGTTCACCAGCCACAGCATCAGCCTCTGATCCAATCTGCATCCCAGCCCCACTGACACCCGTTTGGTCTTTTGATGGTAGCAACTGGTGTGCATGTACATACACACTCAGGCAAGCACGCACATGCTCCACCACAATCTTCCCGAGCCCCCTCCCTCACACCTCCCCCAGGATGCCCATAGCCTCTGTCAGCACATGTTTATGCTGACCTGAAAGGTCCAGGTGCCCGGGGGAGTTGTCTGAGAATGTTCCCCCTACTCTGTCCTGGGACTGCTGTGTCTTCTTTTCACCAAACTGAGAAATCGAGACCAGTCCTGTGTGTGTGGTCCCTGCAGCCTCCGAGCCTCCAGACCCAGGCCTGTTAGAACTGCAGAGTCTCACCCCCTCCTCCCACCCTCAGCCCTGACCTTCTGAGTCAGGGATCCTGGAGGTGAGGCCTGGTCCCTGCTTTAGCAAGCGTCCCAGGCCACTTCTACAGTAGAACCACTGTCTCAGAGTCTGAGTCCAGTCTATGGGTGTCTTGCTGCACAAGGCTCACCATTTGTGCTGGACCAGAGAAGCACCCAGGCAGGAGTATCGCCTCTAGACCTGGGTGGTAACTCTTCTGGACAGCTGCCCTCATGTCAGGAGCTGAGCCAGCTGCTACTCCCAGGGCTCCCAGGCCCAGCGCTTTCTTGGAGTCCTGCATCCTGGTCAGGCGGTCAGACCTCTTTGTCTCCCAGGCAGGCTCTGTGCCTGAAAGTGGTCAAGAGCAGGCAAGATCTTTCTCTCTCATTTTTTTTTTTTTTACCATAGTTCCATTCTTCTAAGAGAGTCTCTTTTTGGCCCATTCATTTAAAAACCAAGCATGATTGTAATTGCAACTCAG